TTTGTATTTATATAATATTTTCATTCCTGTGCTCTTGCAAGGACAGACTTCAGCAACATCATCAGAGATTTCGACATTAAATAAAACACGAAAGCTGTGCAATAGCAAGGACAGACTTCAGCAACATCATCAGAGATTTCGCCATTAAAAAAAACACGAAATCTATTTTTGATCAATTATTTATATATTACTAAAAATAACAATTTGACGATGCTAGTGAAGAATGATTTGCAAATGAGTAGAATTCATCGTCAGTATCACCAGAGCCCACGAAAAACAAACAAAAATATTTTCTTTGGGAAGAAAATATGTAGGGCCCGCACTCTTAAGTCACCCGGGGCCCAGACTCAAGGTCTATATTATACTTAGATCTTGTTCGAACTGTCACTCGACTGAATAAAAGTACGGCGAAAAATTCCTACATCATAGACTGAAATTATGGTTTTGGCAAACGCAAGTTAATATTTAGCTTTTTAGTTCATGTCTTTTACTAGAAATGATGAATATATATTTAGTTGATATTTAGCTTTTTAGTTCATGTCTTTTACTAGAAATGAATGTATATATTTTTTAATTGAGCTTTTAGGTCTCCAAGGAATAGGTGTAAAGATCGAAACTCGATATTACACAAATTATTTAATAAAAAAAAATATGAAGATTTAAAAGAATGTTAAATGGCTCTCTAGATTATGTATTGAAAAGTATATGTAGGCTCTACTTTCCCTGAGACGGGTTCGATTTAGGCTCATTTTTTCGTAGAATAATGGGACATTGAGAAAAATAAGCACAACAATTTTATTCATATGGAGATACAGTATTTTGGAGAGCTGCATGAATACAAGATCGAAATCGAAAAAGGTGGGACAGACAAGTCCAGTCTCGTTTTCGACATTCAGAATTTATATCCAGGGTTAAGGACCATGGGACGTCCCCTATTCCCCCTATTTTCATTAATTTTAAAACTTATTTTATGTCTTTTAATATAACTCAGAAACTAATAGACCATCTCTAATGAGCTTAAGGGCACCACAAGGCAAGGAATGGAGAGGCCTAAAAAAAGAAATCAACCACCTCTAAAACTTCCAAACATAAGTATGTAAGTTCTACTTTCCCTGAGACGGGTTCGATTTAGGCTCATTTTTTCGTAGAATAATGGGACATTGAGAAAAATAAGCACAACAATTTTATTCATATGGAGATACAGTATTTTGGAGAGCTACATGAGTACAAGATCGAAATCGAAAAAGGTGGGACAGACAAGTCCAGTCTCGTTTTCGACATTCAGAATTTATATCCAGGGTTAAGGACCATGGGACGTCCCCTATTCCCCCTATTTTTATTAATTTTAAAAACTTATTTTATGTCTTTTAATATAACTCAGAAACTAATAGACTATCTCTAAGGAGCTTAAGGGCACCACAAGGCAAGGAATGGAGAGGCTAAAAAAAAGAAATCAACCACCCTCTAAAACTCCAAACAGAATAGCAAAACCAGACAGTTTCATTGCAAATAATGATGGCTCTAGACCTTGCATGATAAAATTAATAAAGGATAAGATAAGGAGATAAGAGATAAGGATAAAATTAATCCCATTTTGAGCGCGAACATACATGTGGATTCATGTTACGCGAACGGATGCGCTGTGTTTCAATGTGCATATACTCTAGATCAAAAGGGCAGTTTTATGTGACAGTATTTGGCATCTAAAGGGATAAATTAAGATACCTTTCATTTTTTCTTACTTATTTTCCATTTTCGTAAAGAATTAGACGGCATATTGATTTTATATACATAAAGAAAACAACACGAGACTCGTTCTTGTCTTCCTCGCATCTTGTAAAATAACATTTGAAGCCCAATAATCGTCACACCTCACCTAATACGCTTCATCTTAAAATAAAAAAAAATATAAATAACCCCTAATTTGGCAAAAAATCCATTTATTTCACACGTAGGAACACGTTATCCCCGTCCCCTGGCTAGCCCGCGAGCCTCGAGGAGCAGAAACCCAGCATTCCCGCGCTTTGGTTGTGGCGACGGCGGTCCTCGGGTGCACGGGTGAGCGGTCCGATGCCGTCAGTTTTAGAGGGATTTTTGGGTGTTTTGGGGGCATGGTTTGCGCTTATTTAGTGGTTTTAGTGATAGGTGGAGTTGTATTGATCAATTGAAGCTGTGTCAAGTGTGTGATAACGAAGACGAAAAGAAAGAAACTCATAAGTGAATTTGGAAGACTGCATCCCTTGCTATTTTTTTTTTTATTATTATTCTGGTTGGTATTTACTATCAAATATCACTTGATTGCACGTTCGATTGACAAGCGTGTTGCAGTTCTTAATCCAGAATCTCGGCCGTAACACAGAACAGGTGGTCCTTGCCCTTCCTCCCCCAGCACAAAAGCGCCGAGGGAAAGCAAGTCCGTCGAAGTGAGGGCTTTCGTGGGCTCCTCTTCTACTTGGTCGTTGTAGCAGGTGGTTGCTTATGAAGTAGATTGAGGATCGCACCTGTTTTAATATAGGAACATCGAACTGCACCTGTTGAATTGTATTTTTTTTTTTTTTAATAAGTTCTCTGCCTCTCGTCCTCACTCGCCCTCGTCTAGTACAGGAACACCCAACAAATAACTTGTTTATATATATAGAGTTTTCTTCTTATTCTCATTCTTACCTAACAGGCAGTTTTGATGACAGATTTGAAAGTCCCTGGTTCTCTAAAATTAGTAACTTAGGCTTTGTTTAGTGAAGCAACAGTAGTCACGATGTTGGTATCCTAGGAAAACTGAAGGGCGCACGACAGAAGTAATTATTTACAACGCGACTGCACCCCTGTGAGAATAAGTCCTTATCATTACAGCCAACAGCCTTAGGGTTATTCCTGGGAATCCATCAACATTGCCATTTGAGCCTATAACCTTCCTAAACCCCTACTTAATTACTGTATTTCCCCAGCTGATTGCACTGGACTTAGTCTGCGCACGGATTTTAATGTAATTATTTTATCTGACGGTATTCGCTGCTTGCACATATGATTTTTTATATCAGTTGGATTTTTTTTTTTTTTTTTTTTTTTTTTTTTTTTTTTTTTTTAACACTTTATAACATAGTCCTTAGATTTTCCCCATCTTAGAGTGGTCATTTTGTAAATATACCCAAGAGAAATGGCTAGGAATGGTAAATTACAGTTACTAGGATATGCTTACAAGTGACATTTAGTTTATCCATACCCAAAGAAACCCCTATATAAAGATATAGTAAGCCTCCAAAAGAAGCAGTGGAGTGGCAGCTGATGTCCTCCATGATATGTAACACCTTAAATTCCTGACTTCAGCACCTGTGGTAGTTTCATAATGGCCATTAAACAGAAAACTTTTAATATGTTTATTCTTGGAAGATAGAACATGGAGTGTGAAATGGAAAATTGTGTGAATGTTATGGCAATCACTTGTTGCTTTGCCACTCTTTATACTGCTGATATTAGTTCTCTGTTAAAGCTATTTTAAATCCATACTAGAAATGACAACCTATCCACGAAAACTAATTGTGTATTTGATATTGCATACCTTTCTGTAAATACTTCTATATATGTAGATAGAAAATAAGTTGTAGAAGTAGTAGTAGTAGTCTGTTTATTACTAGTAATAATTTGCTAGGAACAAACGAACACTATATAATTTCTGAAAAAAAAAATCCCCACCAAATGAAAGTGTGCTCAGTGTTCTTAATTTGTGTGGGAGAGACTGTATGTAGCTGTTTATGCATGTGTTTAAGTTAAAGAGGGGGAAAAATGTTCATAATCCATCAGACAGACCAGACACCTCTAATATAACACTTGGTTGTATGATATATGACATTGTAACTAAAGGTGTTTGAGCTTGTATATATGTGTGTGTGTGTGTGTGTACATTGTGTGTGTATATATATATATATATATATATATATATATATATATATATATATATATATATATATATATATATATATATATATATATATATATATATATATATATATATATATATATATATATATATATATCCTCCTCTTCTTTTCTGTTCCTCTACTTCTTTTCTCATCCTCTTTTTCTTTTTCTTCTTAATGAATGGATGCATGTATGAAGTGCCTTGTCTAAAGTATACACAAAAACACTTCACTGTCCAAATATTACAATTTTATTTGTTCATATTAAAATCATAGAGTTTAAGTGTGGATTGGCCAGTACATATTTTAGCATGGAAAATGTGTATATTGTTCATTTCTACAAGTTATTTGGCCTAGAAATTGTTTTCTGCAAATGTGAAAATGATTGAATACTTAATACTTCTCAACAATTTTCTCCTATCAATAAATGTTTAAGATTACTAATTGATGTTATAAGATATATTTTTACAAGGTTGTTTATAAGTAGCTTTTATGTATTTGAGTATCTTTTTTATATGACGCATAATTTTTTTGTCCCCATAACAGGGCCATGGAGGACAGTTTGGAGGACTTAGTTGAAAAGTGCACGGCACAAAAAGTGCCAGTAAGACTGCCTGCATATCGTGCTCTAGTGCAGTAAGTATTGAAATTTTTATTTTTTGATAACCCATTGGATCCAGATGCTTCACTGCCATCACATGAACCAACATACAGGGAACAGGCTTACTGAAGTAGCCATTGCTGTGTGCCATGTTTGTAGGGCGGGCACAGACAGTGACAGAGAATCCATGCCTCCCCTAAGCAATGTTATTACTTTATCTGTTAATAGATTCATTGTGTATTTTTATTTTATTACATTACTTTGTGTAAATTCCCATGATGCCATGTTCAGGTTTTTTTTTATTATGTGTTGGTCACATCTTCCAGATCCTAAGGGTTAATTTCTGTAAGTTAGTACTTTATATCTTTTAATCAATTCATTACATATTGTACATTTTATTACATTACATTTTGTAAATTCTTCTGATATAAAAAAAATAGTTAAATAAAAAAATCAAGCATTAGGAGACAAATGCATTTTTCTTTTCTTTTCAGGAAATGTACAGAATCAGATGAAGTTGTTTGGAGTGATTATGCATCTCAGGATGACACACAGAAAACATTATCCAACTTGAAAACAGATCTTTTTAATGAAAATTGTGATATCAGTTATGAAGCTGCAGGACTCTGTGGATGTCTTTTAGCAAATGAGACTTTTCGTAGTCTACTAACAAAGGAAAATGAAGGCCAAGCATTGGATATGTTGATTAAAGCTATAGGTGAAACCAAGGAGAAGAAAGTACTCACCAGAACATTATGGAGTTTGGGGAAGAGCAGATTAAGCCAAGAAGTGTATATAGAGAGACTAAAGAAGATACTAGAGACTATCAACAATGTGCTGAAGGTTGAAGATGGATCTGCAGTAGCAGTTCTTGAAGCTCTGCAAGTTGTTGAGTCATTGTTGAAGTTAATCCCTGATGAAATGAACAAAGAAATTAAGGAATGGTTCCCTAATGTCTTTGTCTTTTTGTTTCATGATGCCATGAGAGTTCGTATGTCTGCATTTGCATGCATATCCATCGGTAGATCCTTTTTAATAACTGAGGACTTAAAATCAGATATCCTAAAATTGATAATACCAGACCTCAAAGCTAAGCATTGTAAGACTATGAATCGACTCATAGGAGCAGAATGCGCTGATGTATTGAAAGAATGGAGACTCATTGTTGAAATTCTTGGAAAAGAACTTCACCCAGGAACTTCTCTTATCAATGGGTTACTAGAAGTTGTGGAGAAAGGATTCAAGAGCGTTAAGGCAGAGATAAGGATTGAGGCATTTAGATGTTGGCAGTCTCTTATTGATAATTTTTCACTTGATGAAGCCGTCCTTACACACTCGAAGAGATTGAAGTTACTCTTAGCTCCTCTTAAGGCTAATAATGCAAAAACTGAAGATATAGCCTTAGCAAAGTTACTGTCTTGGTGGCATCTTGTATGTAAATTAGGTAAAAAAGCAACTAGCAATTTTGACTTGGTAATAGCACCTCTTCTAAGATTCTGCTTTGGGTGTGGGGCACCAGCAAGTGGTGCTGCATCTGGTCTGTCAGAGAGGAATCTGATCATGTCAGGAGCTGCAGCTTCACCGGGAAGGAAATTTTCTGGCCTTCATGTAACTTGTGCGGAAATTCTAGGACAGATACTTTCAACTGGATTAAATATTTCAGGACTTCAACCATTCTCCTTTACAACACCAATCCTAGAATATCCTGTGATACCAAATCAAGTGATATTTATCAGAAATTATCAGTTTTTTATGAGCTGTGTTAAGGAAGCAGTACAAAGTCTTAATTCTCAAGAAAGGAAGCAGTGTCTCCTTGGCATATTCTTGTTTCAATCCGTCCTTGCCCACTTGAGAGTAGTTATTACGACAGATGTCAGTAAAAAGGACTCTGTAGAACCAGTTAAAGAACTGTTTACAATTATCACTGCTCTAGAAAGTCAGTGTCGTCCAGGAGACTCTCAAAGCCAGTTTGTGTACAAGTTCCTAGAACTGGTTATCGTTGGATCCTTGGGACTTCCAAAAACTGTGCTAAACTCACGTCAATATCACATTTCAACTGGAAACACAATGAGAGACATGATGAGTGGGACTTTGAACAACTATTTGATCCATGAACTATGCAAACCCACTTTATTGCATTATGCTACATCAAGGGAAGGGTAAGTTATGTAAAGGATTTTTACTGTCCTTATACTGTTTGTATACAGTTTGTCTATGGGATATAGAATCATCCAGATAATATCATGATCTTTATTATTTTTATTAGCATGAATGTTTTAAGATTAATAGTTATCAGATGAGTATTTAATAAAATAGCCTTTGCTTAACAGGTATTTTACAATGTGGCTAGAGGTACTGGCTAATAGTAGGCCAGCAACAGGGAAGCTTGGACTACTTCAGTCTGTAGTGAAGGAGCTGGATGCTGCTGCCCCAGTTTTGTGTCCTGCACACCCAAATACCTTAGCAAGACTTTGGTCATCTGTTGTCAATCAGCTTCTGCAGCATATTGAAGAGGTATTGATTTCTATAATTACTTCATTAATCCACTGATGCTGGGGTGGCATGACATACATGCCATGTCCACTGTTATTTTAGTTTATTAAAGTACCTTACAAAGAAATTACTCAACAAAAACTGAGTCACCTAGGAGTCAGTAACTTGTCCTACCTGATATCACCAGTTTACCCCTTACTTTGTTTTTTATTTTTTCATTTAATATTGTGATTTGTATTTGCAAAGTGTGATATATATGTTAATGTACAGTAACTATGCATTACCCAAATTGAGATTGAGATAAAACCATAAGTATCTGCATGTAGATAATAATGACAATAATTAATAATGTTCATAGCATTAGAAAAAATGAAACTCCCAAAATTTCAAGAAATAGGAGTATCAGGTGAGGTCAGTTAGGCCTACTACTTGACTCCTTAGTGGCTAATCAGTTATTAAGCCATCTGTATGTAAACAAAATTCACAAAACAAAACTACATTTTACATTGCAATTACCTGGAAGCAATATGTTAAAAGTGCTTTGTAGTTGAACTATTTCAGCTGAATTCCATTTAGTGCAACAAAGAAAGTAAATGTAATATACTGGACACCCCTCTTATATCCTGGATTTGTTTTATTTATTTATCTTTTTGTTTTCTTTTTCTTTTTATTTATTTTTTCTTTCAGCATCATCAGTTATCCTTTCATTGGTTATTATGGTCATGATGTTATAATTCAGTAGATTAAATGAGACCCATCTGTAATTTTTAGATTCTGAAATTGTCCACAAAGTATATATTACTAAAGATACCAAAAATTTCTTTCTATGCAGACTCAGGTGATTGATCAGGGTGATGGTTCAGAACATGACTGGAGCTGTATTTACAGTGTTTTGATGTTCCCCCTAAGACACTCTATTGATGCCTTAAACTCTGCTGAAAGTCATGTCTACCATGTAAGTCCTATTGATTTTAAAGTAATTAGTAGATCTGAACTCTCAAAAAATAATATTGTTATAAACCTTGATTTGAAAGTGATTAGAATGCATTTTAAACATTATTTTTTTAAAAGTTGTCAGATGTTTTAGTTAATTCTATTCTCTTTTTCTTTTTAGCAAATAATGAAAGACTGGAGTGAACTGTGGCAGAAGTTCATTGAGCTCACACCTTTAGCAACAACAGCTGAGCCTAACAGTGAAGTAGAATATGTAACACATGCATTAGTTAGTATGTGCACAGAGAAGCTAACTGCCCCTCCAGATGTATATGCAAGCACTTACTGTCTAATGTCTGATGTTGTGGCTGTTCTTACTGATAGAATAAGATATTCAGAACTTAGAAAGACGTCTGTAAGAAGTAAGTATAACCCTTTTTACTTTACTAATCATGATTGTTAGATTTGTGATTAATTGAGTGTGCTCTTGAAATATGTAAGTAATAGATCATTGTTTATCTGCCAGAAGTATAAGTTGTCAAATATTTTCATTGCAGTGGTCCATAGTCCGGCAAAACCTCGAAAGAAGCCACATGCATTACATAACTTGGCTGGAAGTGTTGCTTTAATCGGAATTCTTTTAAACCGAGTACTTCGGATGGTCTCCAACCAAAGGCAGCATGCAGCTTCTAGACTCTGTGAAGCACTTACTCAGATCTTCAAAGGTGTTCAGCACGAAAAAATTATAAATTCTTTAGTGCTACATGTTGTTGACACTTTGGCTGCAGCCTTACAAGTAAACCCAGCTGCAAAGTTTGGAGTGGAGGTTGAAAAGAAATTTATTAGTATGTTCAAGAGTTTTGGCAGCCTTTTGGATGAGCATTTTGGCAAGGCCATTTCTTCAGACCAATTTATGAAACTGGTGCCACTGCTGACTGTTAGTCTCTCATCAACTAACAAACATATCAAGCAGGAAGCAAAAAGAATATGGAGGAATAATTTCTCAGAAATCAAACAGGATATTCCTTCAGAATTATTTGAACGATTAAAGGAATGCAGTTTACCACCAGCAAGCTTAACTGACCCACATGAGGATGCAGAAGAATCCTTGAGCTTGAGTCCCAAAGAGAATGTGCCCAGTAAGTTATTTTTATTCTGTTATATATTACTGTGAATAAACCTACTAAAATTTGATGTACAGGTAGAAAAATGGGTTGATAGATGTATAAGGAGATATAGGTATAGATATATATGGAGATATAGGTATAGATATATATGGAGATATAGGTATAGATATATATGGAGATATAGATATACATATACATTATATTTATTTATATATAGATATATATATATATATTGTATTATATATATTATACACACACACACACGCACGTGCACACACACACACACGCATGTGCACACACACACACGCATGTGCACACACACACACGCACGTGCACACACACACGCACGTGCACACACACACGCACGTGCACACACACGTGCACACACACACACGCACGTACGTGCACACACAACACACACACGTGCACACACACACACACACACGTACGTGCACACACACACACACACACGTACGTGCACACACACACACACACACACGTGCACACACACACACACACAGACACACACACACACACACACACACACACACACACACACACACACACACACACACACACACACACACACATATTGTACATTATTTCATGGTCATCCACATATGCTGAATTGAGTTATATATAGATTTATCTTTTCTTTTTCTCATTATAGCACACATAGCTGGAAGTTTTCTGAATAGAGAAATGGGACAAGAAGTTATGCACAAAATTACTCCGAAGGGCAAATCTCAGAAATTTGAGACACCCAAGTCTTTGAAAGGAAGTCAGGGCACCCCTATTATAAAAGATAAAAGTAAAAGAAAAATTAACCTTGAGGATATGAATGATGAGGTGAGTATTAGTCTTCATTTACTATGTTTAATTTTGTTTATCAAGTGCAAGTTCTTTAGATACATTTTGAAAAATCATATTCGTAGATCAGTTGGAGAAAAGAAATTAACATTGGCAAATTTCTAATCTCTACATTAATTTTGTGCAGGAGTTTGTTAAAGTGTCGTCTCCGAAAACATCACGCAGAGTCTTGACAGAACATCAGATAGAAAGAATGACAGAAAGGAGGTCAGACATCCCAGCACTGTACTCAGACCTCTCACAGTCTATGTCACAAGCAGTATTGCCTACACAATTTTCTTCTCAGAATTCCTTTGAAGAGTGAGTATAAAGAATGTGGCACGTTCACTTACATCATGGGTGTAACTTCTTGGATTTTGGGTGATTCAGTTTAAGTTTGTTTCATCAAGATTTTAGAGCATTCTGTTATAATCTTAAAATCAGTATGTTAATTCATACTGCCATAGTAAATTAATGTAGCTATCACCCTTGTGGAGAGGCTCACCTCTTATTTGCTAAGGAAATGAGGTATGAGATGTTTTTGCAGTTTTGATCCATCAGAGATTATAATAACAAAGTATATCATTCATGATAATTTTATATTTAAAACTCAAATCATGACCATCATGTAAATAAGCTATATAAAGAAGGATTCTTGGAAATCATTTTTTTTTTATGGCACAGATGATTTGTTAGGGAGATGAGAAACAATAGCTTGAAAGTTTTTTCTACATGTTATCATAGTATTGAACCAAAACTAAGATGTAGAATTTAGAATTGGTTTCAGATTAGTGGTTGAGATAGCAGATTTTATCTTAGAGCAAAATAGTTATTTGCAGTTGGTTGGGTTAATTTGTAAATTTTAAAGTTCAAAACCTATGAAAAGCCAACAATGCAATCTGGAATAATGAGATTTAAACTTCTCTTGTAGATCATCATCTGTTAACACTGAAAAATCAAGAGAAAAGAAACTAGATGAAGCAGGTCAAAAAGCTGCAAAATCAGTGCAAGAAGAAGAAAGAGAGGATGATAAAAAAGAAGAAAAAGAAGCCAATATTCAGAACAATCCTGGAGAACTGTCTTTCAGTGGCTTGTTCCCATCAGAAAACCAAGAGCCTGAAATATCCAAGGAATCAGAAAAGAAATCTGAAAGAAACACCAAAGCAAAATTTGAGAAGCCTAAGCCTAAAACCAAAAAGAAATTCCAACAGGAAGCCAGAGCTGAAGAGGTTGACAGTATTGTTACAGACAATGTGGAGGACACTCTGAAGAGCAGGACTGTAGAGGAATCCAAAGATCTTAGTAAAGCAAAGGCTGATGAGATAAATGGAGGGGAAAGTATAAAGGATCAAGAATCTTCAGCAAAGAATAATACAAAGAAAGGAAAAGGTGTCAAAGAAAGTGTAGAAGATAGAAAGACTCGAAGCAAGAGCAAAGAAAGTTCAGATACAGATGAAAGATCCATATCCAAAGAGTCAGAGGGCAGAGAATCTTCCACTGTGGTAAAAAAGGAGATAACGAAACCAGTCAACAAAGCTGAATCTAAAAGAAAGAATGATACAAAGAGAAGATACATGAGTGGAGAGAGTGACTATACCGATGAAGACTTGGATGAAGAGCTCAGGAAGACTTCAATTGAGCTTCAGAGGTCATTAGACAGCATGTCTTCTGATTCTGGGGACTCCTCAGTTACTGAACAAAATCGAAGAAAATCTCAAACTCCAGTAAAAAAGACAGTCGAAGATGTCAGGAAGTCATTGAAAGGAAAGGTACAGAAAAATCACACGGATGAACAAGTTTCAAATCTGTCTCTTTCTCCTTCAACAATACATAAAAGAATAAACTTCAAGGAGGTAGCTGTATCTCCTAGTGTAGTCAAGGATTGTAAAATAGTCAGTCAAATCCCTGAAGTGAAGTTAGTCAACAATGCAGGAGTATTACATAACAGAGGGAAAATATCTGATAGTGAATCAGAGGAAGAAATACCCAATTCACAAGTTGAAGAACCAAAACAACAATTATTAGTTTTCAATATTATCAATAAAGAAAAGGAGGAGACCCCTGGAAAGAATACAGTTGGTGACAAAGAGAATAATGTCGGGAGAGGTCGCAGAATTTTGCGAGCAAAGAGAAAGAGGGGGGCTGTCGAAGATGAAAAAGAAGAAGAAGAAGAAATAAACCCTGACAAGAGAAAAAGAGTTAGTGAAAGTGTTTCTCACAGCATTGGAGCAAAACAGAGTTCAAGTGAGGATTCAGTGATTATAATAGATGAAAAAGGCAGCTCAGATAGTTCAAGTGAGAAGAAGAGTGATGGTGGAGTCGAGGTGAAAAATAATGATAAGAATATAAAGAGAAACAAGAAGTCAAGATCTCAGTTAGACACATCTCGGAAAAGTTCCCAGAGTAGTCAGAATAGTGAAAATCCACATGATTCAGAAGGTCTCCCATCCACCCCTCCTAAAGTAACAAGATCAGGAAGGAAAGTTGTGGCTCCAAACAAGGATATGCCAGAGCCTATGACACCACCTGGAAGTGCCAGTCAGAAGAGAAGATCAAAGTCTCAGGAATCTCTAAGTGTATCTT